TGGCACATCAAAACTCCTATCAAAAACATAATGTAGTAAAGACAGATAACATTATTATTTTAATGACGTGGACATAACAATTCCTAATTGTATACATGAGGCTGATAACTATAAACAAAGCCAAATTGTTCTGCAGCTTACATTGCTTCTTCAATCAGTAAATCTTTAAAAATCCTGATCGGTTGGCTTCCAACTATTTTTAGTTGCATAGTTGGCTAATCATAAATGGATTCAACGCATTTATTTGCAATTCCTTTGCTGTGTATGCTCATTGGTATTTTTATGAAAATATTTGTCATGGCCGCAACAATTCAACGACATCATGCACCTCAACAATTCAGTAGTGTTTTATCTTTCTAGCTTTTACTGTTCATTATAATAATACTTCTTTATCTACTATATAATTAATCATTTCCTTTCTTTTTAATTCCAATTTTATGCTGTATTTGTTATTAACTATAATCTCCAAGTTCCTGTTGAAGAACCTTTTTTCATATTAGTTTTGTCCCATCACTTCACTATGGTGTGTTCCTCTGCTTTCCTCCTGTTACCTATTTTCTTGAAAATTTATGGCAACAATACTATTTTCTGGCTTTCATAAAGTTCTGCAGATTTCTCCCAAAACTATACTGATTGCAACTGAAGATCATGATTTGTGTGGGAGATGCATTGTTTAGGAATGTTCATATGACATAATCGTAAGTGGTGATGGACAAATATTCTCTCAGTAAGCCTGTCGTACCTCTATAGCTCTTGGTTACTTAGAAGAAATGATTTCGAGAATTGAGAAATTATTGGTTACTTAAAGTGTTCAATTGTGTGCTGGAAAGGGATGTGAGGAGCCTCAAAAATTGAAATTGAATCTCTGTGTCTGAAATTTGAGTTTACCACACCTTCAGTTCAAAGAATAGGAGTGAACAACCAACTTGAGATTATCTTTGTACAGGCGTTTGAGGCTCAAGAAGCTTTGAGAATTGTCGTGCCAACAAGAAATGTATATGTTCAGACATGAATCTGGATGCATTTTGGGTAAAAGATCTTTCAAATTCAAACTAAGGATCTTCTAAACTCTGATTTTCAACAAATTTATAGTTAAACTTAACATCTCGACAATACAAGTCCAATGACACTAAAAATAATCCAATTTGAGTTCAAATAAGCCAAGGCCAAACACTTGAACTGTTGTCATAGGTTATGGTGCACTAATTAGTCGCTCAAATGATCTAAAAAATTGGCATGTTTTTAATCAAATCGAACGGCTTGACGAAAAGAATCCAATAAGTCTAATATCATTCAATTTCAGGTCATTAAAGCACTTAAATGTTGGAAAATTTATTTGTGATCAAGGGAATCAATGTGGATCGTTCGATAGAGTGCTTTAGGAGGTTGGCTAAATTTACCAAAATATTTCTCTAAAAACTTATAATGGGTATTCATTCTTCATTCTAAGCGGAAAGAGTATGAGAACTGAGCTGACAACTAAATCAAAATTCTTGAAGAAAAATGCAGGCGAACGACCACTACCAAAAACTATTGTAGACAACTAAGGCTATTGCAGCCGCCAATTATAGCTTTTATCGTCAACTATGACTGTTGTAATCACCAACTGCAGTTCTTGTAGCCCAATTATTGTTGCTCTAACTGAGCAAATACTATATGTTGGTGATTGTAAGTTTTTGTAATCATCTTTTCTAATTTAGGAGAAAAGTAGACATCTGTATTTTCAATTTTCCAGTGTATTATTTTGACTTGATCAAACCCCATGGTATTTTCACTTTTTAGGTTTTTACACATAAAAAAATGGTGATCTCTTATATTTCTATTTATGTGTGTTCTAGAAAACTATGCTGAGCCAAGCTTAAGGTATCTTTGTCGTTGAGAATTTTCTTATAGGCAACAAGAATAATGATCTATTTGACCACTAAAGTGAACTTGAGGAAGTGTGGATGCAAAAGTCGAGTGATTTGGATCATGAGATTTGGATGCTCTCAATATTCTTGAGCTTTCTCAGAGCAACAATTATGTGCAAAAAATAAAATGACAAATCTGAGCTTTATATTTGGACTTAGTTAAAGATGATTTTGAATTGTCAAATAACATTTGATTCCTATTCAAAATGACCCAGTCATGGTTGTATCTACTTATTCCTTAAAAAATTACTTAGAATACAAAATTGCTGTACATGCATGGACTATTAGTTGAATTGACCTCAGACACTATGTCCAAGGAAGAGGCACTTGCTTTGGCAGGGGCGTTGGCTAGCTTTGCAGGTCCTCTTCTGAACCCAATGACTTCAGTAAAGGAACAAATTATATGGGGAAGATAGGGTTGACATCATGATCCTGATGACGACGGAGATTTCTTGAAGTATTGAATCAAAATAGATAACTTAATGTATATCTTAGAACACCCAAGATTAGTATTATTATTGGAGAAAATTGTCAAAACAGTCCTTGAACTTGTGTAGGGGATTATTTTAGTCTCAGAGTTTATAAAAGTGCCAAATCCCCACACTTTTTTTAATATGGGCCGAAATAGTTCCCATAGAGGACTATTTCGGCCCTAAGTAAACAAGCCTAGGATTAATTTGGCACTTTTAGAGACGGGGGCTAAAATGGCCCCATGTAAATAATCGGGCGATTATTTCGACACTTTACTCATTTTTATTATTGTTATTCCGTGTGATTGAGGCCATGCTGGTGCTAATAAACGCACCCGTGTCATCACTATCAGTGGCAGTCCTGGGGAATGAGCATTGGCCCCTCGGTGTTCCCCTGCTCCACCACCCATTCAATAAGACACCAACTTTCCTGTTGTTGTAGTAACTGCACAAAGAAAAAGATCACCTTCTCGATCGAACTAGACCTGAATTCCTTGACTTTGGTCCATGGAACTTGTTCCAAAACACACGCTATGGATTTTTCATTACCTGTTGAGATTCACACTTCTTTATTTTGGGATTTGAACCTATTGGATTTTGAATTCATGCTTTTGTCTTTTTTCTGAACCCAAGTTTCATGCCTGTTTTTTAACCCAATAAATCCATTCCACACATGATTTAATATATAACAGGTAACTTTAATGCTCAAAATTATAAGAGAATACTTAGTTTAATATGAGATTCAAATAAATTAAATGAATTAATGCTCTTTGTTGATTCGAGGAGTATTAAAGTGATAGTTGTGACTCCAGAAAACATAAACAAACTATAGCATTATAATAGGCTATGGTAAGTCAGACTTCAACATGACACGTGGCATGAAAAAAAAAATAAGGGAGTGTTGAACAATGAAACATCAGGAAGGTTATATAGATCAGAAATAAACAATTTGACCTTGATGATTCTCATGGATATTTTAATGGCCTGAAACATATAGCACAGTAAGCCGTGTCACGCAGATAGATCACACCATTCAGGAGCAGTGTCCCTTAACTTTCATATCTTTTTCTCGATTCTTCATTCGATTTAACTATATCATCTGCTGTACTTTTAAAGTTCAAAATATACTGATTTGTTCTTCATATTTATAATTAAATTCAAAAAAAAAAATTGAATAATTAAATAATTAAGTTTTATGTTTGTGGATTATTTAAGTTGTGAATTTGCTAACTAAGATTGAGTTATGATATGACATACAAAATAGATTCACATTTTGTGATACATTTTTATATCTATAAACAAGTGCTTGATTTCTAACTTAGAAATAATGCATTTCATTAAGAAATGTTTTCAATAAATTAATTTCTTGCAAAAAATTAAGGTACTTAAATCTGAATTAAATTAAGTGGGGGCGAATACATTATATCTGGACTAGTACATTTTTCAGTCTAGAATGTTATATATTTGATTGAAATAACTTATAGTTGAGCATGGTAAGGATGGGGAATCCAACGTTCACTGAGATGTGTTTTGTATTAATTTGCCTATTTAAATAGCAGTGCATCAAATTTTATAAAAATCCGTGTCATGAATTTTAATTGCATATAAAATATTTAAAACAATAAAAAAAAAAATAAAAAAAAAACGGTTCTATTCCCAAGTTCTTATGCAGCCACTTTGGATTCCTTGCTTTCAACAATTATTTAGTACGCATTAAATTCGCAAGAGTAGAATCTTTAGACTTTTTGCTCCAATAGAAGACCGAAAGAAGGTTTAGAAACTTGGGATCAAGAGCTAATGGAATTTGTTTAATTGTAGGAATTGGATGGTTAAGACAAGTAAAGCATTTTTTTATAAAAGACGAAATTCCAAGATTCATGAATGTGACTTCTGCAATATTTTATAAAATATGCTATATTTTCATGAATTCCATACTGCTCTGGATTCCAGAAGAAGGGTGATTCAACTTTCACGGTGGCCTGCTGGTTTAAAAAAAAATAAACATTGAACTCTTTGTTAGGCTTTGCTGAGAGAATTTGATAGATTTATACCTTGGTTGTCGTCTCACTGTTTCACATTCTTCTGCATGCTATTTTAAGTTTTAGAAAAGGTTTTCTTTAGATTTATGTTTTTATGATGCCTACAGATATAATATATTATGAACGTGAAATATTTTTGTTATTGAAAAATGTACAGGACGTGGACAAACACATGTCATAAATAATAAAATAAAATACATATAATGATGGTAAAGTTTGTTCTTCTAAAAAATAAATAATAAATACTATGAAATGGAATCTAAATGGATTAATTATTAAAGACATTTCAAAATTAAAAGCATCTGGATTCACAAAGTAGTCATATTTAAAAACTAATGTCGGCTAATATTGAGGCCATGTTTTAGGCATGTTTATTGTTTTAGATCTTTTTTATTTTCAATCAGGATGGTATATATTCTATTGATGGAAAAATTATGGCATAGTTATTATTTATATTATCTTTTTGTGGCATTGTTTAATAATTTTGATGAAAAGATATTAATCTCTTAAATTATTGTTTAAGTAATAGTATCAAAATGACTATGTTTACAAATATTGAAGAAATTTTTTTTTCCGAATAGGTATTGTGTAATCAATCGGCTATTGTAACTTTGATACGGCGCGGACCACCTCAATATGAAGATTTGTATTGGGTCAGGTCGTGACATCAAATAAGTTGGCAAGGCCAACCACTTAGTAATGAGTGCATGCACCATCTAATGAGTGTGTGCTGGTGTATAACTCTAGATGAGAGCTTTCATAGGGATAATTTGATGGCCCTCGAAGCCATCACAATGATGATGATGTAGCTATTATTATCTGTTCTTTTTTTATGTGCAGTGTGAAGCTCAGGTCATACACAAGGAAGATTGAACCAACCCAGTATAATTCCCTGAGATCAATCAGTTAAAGGGTCTTTGGACATTTGAGTTAGGTAATTTTGGTGCATTGGATTCATCATGACATAATGGTCCGTTTGGCAGTGTTTTCATGATATTTTGAGTTTGCTATGTCTCCTATTTAATATTTGAGCAAATTTAAGCATTAAATTATTTGGGTTATGTATCTTAGAATTTCATGAATTTTGCTTAGTTAGGTATGAATATTTGTGATCTCAATAATTATGCTTTAACTTTTAGATGCACCGCTTAAGTTAAACATATTTCTTGTTCCATGAATGCTCATTTTGTAAGTCATAGTTTAATTGAAAAATCTTAAGAGACCGCTCTTTGGGTGTCAATATCTCATTGGACCTGACTCAAGTCATTTCTTTTGATTATACATTTTTATTTATTTATTTATATGATGTGTTATAATTAGTTGTTGTGTGCTCTCAAAATTAACGACCGCTCTACGTGAAATCTATGAATTTTGTTTTTATTTTATTTTAAAGAGCTTTGGAGGGTCAATTTTTCAGAAGGTAGATTGAATAGTAAATAAGACACTATCCAGAGATTTCGCTCTCATTAGCGAGGACTTTTTGATATGGGGTTCGAGGTTTTTCATCGGCGCAAGTCCCTTTGGTTAATTACCTCTCTCGATAATGGGAGAACACTTTCAATTAAGACTAGTCATTAAGAATTGAGTATTCAACATATAATATCAGCAGACTAGGATTTTAAGTTGTAGAATTCACCACTTGAACCTTATAGTAGATGGTGGGGGAATGGAGGTGAAACCCGATCAAGATCTCATGGTTCCATCTTTACGGGTCGTTGTGGTCCTTGATCTACTTAGTCAGAGGAGGTAGTCTACTCAAATTGACAGAAGGATTCTTATCAGCAACATTGGTTACGTGGTCCAAGAGATCTTTGTAGATTTAGAGTGGATATTTTTCTAAGGGAATAAATTTAAGTTGACCTTAGCTAACAAAAGCCTTTATATCAATCAATTGTACTCAATTCACAAATTAAAGGGTAGAAAGTCGTTGGGGAACATAGGCTGCGATCGTGATCGTAATATAATGATGTCATTTGGCTGCAACCACTCGGTCAGAGGGCTCTGGCCATAACCGCTACTTTGTGGTGTCATTTGACAACATAACCACGTGAACAGAGGACTCAACCCACGTCCTTACTAACATGTAATTATTTTTTATTGTAAATATTGATACATTTGATATGACATTCACTCATTGTGAGTTGAAGTCAATAAGAAGTTTGTCACTCTCGATAAACTATTTCGAGGGTAGATGAAATTTACTTTTGGTTTTTTAAGTGGTTTATTTTAACTTACATATTGGTTGGTGATTTTGAAAAAAACTTGATTTTAAAGATTGACCCCTCCGGTTGAAATCTTCATATCAACACGGCCATCATCAAGTTTTGAACATTTTAAAGCTTTTATATTTGAAGGCGGAACATTTAGTTTTATTAATTTAGACTTGTAGGGTATGAGTCATGTCGACTCTTGTCCTTACAAGGAGGATTGGACTGGTTATTTGGACTTATAAATTTTTATTTGGACATTTATTTCAATATTACTAAACTCGTCAACTTCAGTACTTATGAGGAGGAGGATCGAACTAGTATGGTGATTTCGACTTGTAAACTCTTGTTTTAAGATTTGAACATTTATTTCAAAATTATTAGACTCGTCAACTCCAGTCCTTGTGAGAAGGAGGATACGACTAGCGGGGTGGGACTTACAACTTTATCTCTAGATAAGGCTGGTCGATTAGCCCAGCCCCATAACATTATCGAATGTCATATTTAAACATTTAATCTTTTGGTTTGAGAAAATGCGACCATTTAAATTCTTATTTTTTAATCATTTTAGCTTAAGCTCTTGGTAGCTCAAGCCATTTTATCTGAATATATATACATTACTACATATATGTTGACTTTGATCTTTTAAAATTGCCTTTTGTTCGCTAGCAAACACATTACGAATTTGGTGGCAAAATTGAAATTTTAATACTTTATTTTAACATTTAAAAATGACATTCATGTCTTAAACTTCTTAGCCCCAATTTATGATATTTGACATTTAATTCAATTTATTAGACCCTAAGTTCGACCCAAGCAAGCTTAGCGCCAATTTATTATGTTCCATATGAAAGTCAAGTTCAGCCCCCTGATATTTCATATTTGAGTTAAGCTCAGGACCCAATTTATAGAATATGGCATTAGATTTCAATTTAGGTTTAACCACTTGCGCTTAGCTTCAAATAAGGTTTAGCTCCCCAATTCTTTCACATTTTAGTCATTTGAAAATTTAAGTAATTCAAACTTTCAAATTCTTTTGGAAGTCTTAACAATCCAATTTCAAATATTATTATTTTTTTATTTTTTTTAAATTTAAATTATTTAATTTTTGGCCATTTTTAAAAGTTTACAATTTCCAAATCTTAAATTATTTTACAAGTCTAGGGTCACCAAAATTTTGGCAGCCTATCGACATTGTCACCGGTCAGTGGGCTGCATTGTGGTGTTTGTCTGCCCAACTGTTTATAAGATGCACTAGTCAATGTTATGAGACACTACGGCCAGAAAATATCTTCTAATCCACCGGTCTATGAGACACATTTGGGTCTTTACTTTTCCTGTATTTTCGGTCGGAAAAGATCTTCTAATCCGTCGGTCCATAAGTGCATCTTGGTCTTCATTTTTCCAGCATATTCAATTGGCACGACACTTAATGACTTCAAGACCAATCTCAGCGAGATCAGTAGCTTGCAATTCAACCTGGATACCATCCAATTCTCTCTTAAACCTGTCCTTTGAACTTGCATAAATCATCTTGCTCCTCACTCTAGATGTGTTGGGCGACTGTGCTATAAAGAAATTTTGCTTTTCTGGCAGTTCTCTTCAGTTACAAAGTCAAATTCATGGATTGCATATCTACATTCATGAGCACGAAGGCTAGCAATGAAATCCTCATAGTTCAAAGCAGGCTCACCCACTTTTACAAGAATGATTTGCTTCAGCTTCTCCTTAATCTTATAAGTTATGAATCGGTGGGTTCTCTTTGCCTTCAATGCAAGGAATTTCAGCTTACACTCATCATGCACAGCCATTCCTGATGCCACATTGGCCATTTTTACGGATAAAAGCCGAATTGGAGTGGAGATAGATCGTGGGAGAGAATTTAGGGCTCCACGGCTCCGTCAACGAGAGGAAGAAACTCTCTTCTCTCCTCTTGCACTGATAAAAGAGGCTTTGAAAGCATAGCGGCGATCATAAATACTCGTAGGGGAGACATGCCTTTCCCCCAATCTCACATTTCTTTTGTCCTCCAAATCAGACTTGTTTACCTACCATGCTTGGATTCCCTTGTTTCTGCAGCTCTTGCACCCGCTTTTGCTTTTTCAAATGAATCCTTGCTTGTGATATTGTAAACAATGATGGCCGCCACGACTCCTCTGTATTACATGAGTGCGAGTCTGTGATACCTTTCCTGCCCTGCGGTATGCCAGATCTAAAACTTCACCATGGCATCATTCAAAGCTAACGCCTGTGAAAAGAACGCCGCTCTGATCGTGGATTCCTGGAATTCGAGAAATTTCCCTTTGATGAAACATAACACGAGGCTGGATTTTTCGGCTCCCACGTTTCCAAGTAACATGAGCTTGGCATCAATGTTATTGTTGTTGGTGGTGGCCATGGTCACCTGTGAAGGGAGGAAAGCAACAAAAAGAGCTACCAATTTCCTGCCGGTGGGAGATAAAGTGACTGGAGGAAGATAGGGACAAGCGTCACTTTGCGAGCGATTCGAGCCGTTGGAGAGGAGAAATCGAGTGGTGCAGTCTTGCGTTCGGGTTTTACGGACAGGGGAACGAGAAGGAGTGACACTAGGAGGCAAGCATGCGGCTCTTGTATGCGGGTTAGGGAAGAGAGGGTGTCGATCACGATAGAGAGCATTGAACATTTAGGTTACACGGCTAGGGTTCGTGCAGAACGACGAGGGGGGTTGCGGCTTCGTGCCGGCTCGGCTTTTTGTGCAGCGAATTGTTCATATCTGGATTACTGCAGGGATTCCGAGCTTCAAAAGGGGGCTTCCTCGTGCGATTTGCCACACCGAGAGATGAGAGGTGAGAGGTGAGAGGTGAAACGAAGGAGTGAAGGAGAGCCTGCTATGGGTTCAGTCCCTTTGCGATTTTTATTTTGAGGCGGGACTTGGTGTGATTGTGTGGGAACAGTTACATGAGGCTTGAAATTTAAATTAATATTAATTAAGTTAATTGAATATAATTAAACTATTCATGATTTTATTTTATTTTTTTTACTTCAACAATTGTACAACTTGTTATAGATGGAGGTTACATTATCTGTTAGGGAGCACGTGATGAATCCTTTTGTTGAAATTGAAGAGATTACCTTTATGCTTTCATAAGAAATATGTGTCAAAGTCATAATGTAGGTGACATTATCATTTAGATTGCTGATGTCATATAAATGATGAGTAATTATTCTTTTTTAATTCTTTGAACTTTATACATCAGTAAATTCTTAAAGAATTTTTAGGCGTGTTGTTGAATCCATATGCTTGATTGAATAGTTTTCTCTCAATGAAATGCTCCATCCCCCTTTCTCCTTCCTCAAAGGAACTTAGTTTTTTTGGTCTTAATCATGAATTAGTTCTTGATTAATTTGCCGAGCTTGTCGGAGAATGCCTTGTTAAACAATTAGATAATTGAAACTTCAGTGATCCAATATGCATAGGGAGTTTATTGTTAATTTGCTGAGCATTGGACTTGAACTTTGTCACTGGACGGGCTTATTAAGCATGCAACTAAAAAAGAAGGTGCAACTTTTGTAGGCTTCTTTGAAGGATAAAAATTTTTATCTAAGAATAGCTAATTGCTTACATAGTGATAGCTGGTGTTAACAAATTGAGAGTAATAAATCCATCTTGAAGCCATTGAACCACCATATGATTATGACTCAAGGGATTCTTCTTAGGAGTGTCATCAAAACTTCCTGAGAACATGCA